AAACATCACAACGGTGAACATTTAAGGATTTGCAGGTGTCAGAGGACAGAAATGGGTCATGTGAAATGAAATCATCACTACACATGTTTAAGCTTTTTTTTTTGTTGTTTTTTTTTATTTTTTACCAGAGTGTTTGGGTCACTTGGAGAAAGTATTTATTTACCTGTTTCAAGACTAAAGTCAAAGGAACCAACTCGAAATGTTGAGGAAAAGAAGTGAAATCCTGGAGAATCAAATTTTAATCAAAATAGTTTTAACAGCAAAGGGAAAAAAATGAGATTAGAGTTTTAAAAAAAGCTGATTAAAAAAAAAAACACACTCAATTTATTTTTAATGTTGTGTTGAGATTGTGAACAAGGGCCACTGATGGTTCCTCTCTGTGTGAACGACCTGTACTGACAGCAGTTCAGACATTTTGCTTTAATATCCTGCTTCCTCTGCTTTTTTTTTCCTTAACATTTTAGATTTGTCCTTGAACCAAAAACAATGACTTTACTGTTGAACTAAAATTTAAAAAGAAATGTGTGACCCTAATACTCTGTCGTAGATTTGAATGTTTGTGAACCCTTTCATTCCTAGATTCCTGCACAACTTGTTTCAAAGCATAGTTTTTGTTTTTACAATGTAGTAGCGACAAGAATTAAGCCGAGTTAATCAAGGTATGCTGATTAGGTCATCGCGGCCTGTGACATGTTTGAAATTGAACACTTTCGATCATGTGTTTGGGCCAGTTTTGCTGCATCTGGTTCTAAAGAAACCAGGACCGAAGACGACTTACAGAATAACAAAGGAAAAAATAAATCAGTAAAAATCAGTGTTTTATATATCTGGAATACTTATCTGATTCTGAAAAAAAATTGCATATTTCATTTAAAGATTCATTGACAGAAAATTATTGAGGGTTCACAAACCTTAAAGAGCGACGACCTTTTTGTTGAAAGACTGCTGCTGCTGCATAGTTTTTGTTTTCACCATTTTTTTTTGTTTGTTTTTTTGGCTTTTAATGGCAGCCTTTCGTCTTTGCTCCATTTGAAGATATTTGCTTTTATGCTCTTTGCACTGTCTGAACAAGGCAACACACTAACCAATGAGTTTTTAACCACTACTTCAACTTTTATTTATTTTTCTATTAAAATGCGAGATCTAGAGGGGTAGATTTTAAACACAACCATATGAGTTGCCTTTTCTTGTCTCAGAGTTCGATTATCCAGGTGTTTTAGCTCCTGACCATTCCCCTGTGCCTTCTGTCACTTTTTTTCTTTTTATTCAAAACGTTTGCTCCTGAGGCCAAGCTGATTTAGTTTGTTAGACTTTACGTACCAAACTACACCTCTCCTGGATGTTAGAATATTTTATCAATTGTTTACAGATGATTCAATAAAGCAGGTTTATTTATGAAGAAGATTATGTACAGCAAAACAAGACATTCAGGCACGCCGCTGCCTCGCAGATGTATATTTTGGGTAATAAATGTCGAAGCACAACCAAGAGTTTTAAATCCACGGAAACGCCCGGCCTTTTTGGGGGGGGACAAAGTGCTACGAAACAAAAAAACAAACAAGATGTCGAGATGAAACCAGCGTGTTTGTGTTGGCTCTGTGACTCATTATCATCTCTGCTTTTAGCTAACTCTCTAGACGTCAGATCACACACACACACACGACTCCACTGTAAAGAGCTGAGAGAATATTGATTGTCCTTGAATATTCTGTTGTTTTCTAATTAAAGACATTCTCAGGCGTGATTTTATCTGATGTCTGGGTTTTTTTTGGAACCAAAGGATGACGCTGGAAGTCAACTTTCACCTTTATTCACAAGCAAAGATCACATAATCTTCAAACTGTGGTGCTTTAACTGTTCAAAGTCAAAGAAATCAATGTCGGTTAACACACACAAAAAAAAATAAATTCTACACATGTATTAGAGCGTCCATGTTTCTATTTTGTTTTTTTTGTGAAGGTTTAGTAAGTTTTGTTTTTAATTGCCGTTTCTTGGTAGCATTAGCCTAATTTAGCTCTAACACTGATTTGAACGCCGCGGTGTTGGCACTCGGCAGGTCTCAGGTCAGCAGCAACTCATGACGAAGGAGAGAGGCGTGTGCAGCTTCTGTGGGGTTCTGATCCTCCTCTTAATGCCAGCACAAGATGGAGCACCGAGCCGCCCTGGATCTTGTAGTCTGCGGCCGTCTTCTCATCGTTCCTGGAGGCGGGAGGAAGAGGGGGAGGGAGGGTTTGTGGTTTTAAAGGAGAACCCTTACGGTGGCATCACAGAAAGGACTACAAAGTGAGCTGGCTCACATCTGTTTCCCGCTGTAGATGAGCCTCTGTTGCTGTGGAGGGATCCCTTCCTTCTCCTCGACCCTTTCCTTGATTCGCTCCACCTTGAAGTAGGACAAAACGAGAACACTCAGCGCTGTTAGAAATCAGTTGAATAATGAGGTTTCTCAGTTAAACAGCAGTTTGTGTGGATGTGTCACCTTGTCTGTGGGCTCGATGTCGATCTCTATTTCCTTTCCAGTCAGGGTCTGAAAGCGGGAACGTTTACAGAATGGGTGAGATTCGACCGGATCGACCTGACAGCTGTTCCAAACTCACCATGAGTTATACCATGAGTTATAGTTTATAACTATAACACTACTGTGATTTTAGAGCCTCACAGAAAAATATATAATTTTTTATAGGTAGAACTTACCAGTATGTATTTTTTTTAAAACTTACACTTAAAAGTTGTGACTGTGTTATACATGTACATATCACTTTTCTAAAGATAATGCCCTGATATTTTTTCTTTTGTTTTGGCAAGTTTTTTATGTTATTTGTGGTTGTTTCGCCATCAATATCTTTCAGAAAGAAAGTGATGGTGATTTTGTTTTTTTGATTTTTCCCAAAAACCACTTTTGGCAATTAAAAAGTAAAATATACTTAGGCTGTTACTTTTTAGGAATGTGCTGATATGTTAGTATCACTGGATTACCAATAAACCTAAGATTTGAAGAACTGGATGGGTTTCAATTTTAGGAACCCACTGACTGCTATGTAAAGGAATTAGTAGAAACATTCATGACCTTTTGGAAAAGTCCTGTGGTGATTTGTAAAGCTCGAAATTAGCTGGAATTGGTCTCCAAAATATATTTATTTTACCTCTAAAACTACAGAAACACTAAAAACGTAGGAGTTTTTTAGGGCACATGTCTGTCAGCCACCAGAATAAATCTGGGGTTTTGATATGGACACCCAAAAATACACAGTATGGCTTGTACAAAAGTTGTTTTCCCTCTTCTTTGACTTATGATTTTATTAAAAAATAATAATAATAACTTCGAGAGCAGCAAGTTAAGCAACCAAAATGATCGATTAACCTTACTAGCAGATAACGTAGCTGTCTTCTGAGCAGAATCACTGATTAATGGTTGGAAATATCGGAGAAGAAATAATGTACCGGCGGACCAGTTAGCGAACAGCAAAAAAGTTAAACCTCCGTGAAACATTTCTCACCTTAACTTTGATCAGCATGTTGAATGCGCACTATTATTTCACTGAAGAGAGAATGGGCGACGAAAAGAACAAAACTACTGGCAAATTAACGCTTTACAACCAGCTCGTCAAGCTAACCTGCCTTTACTTCCTGTTTAGCGGACCAACACCCTAACTGTGTCGGCTTTCCACAAAACTCCAGCAGAAAGGTTCCGCTGTTAAAACTGCAGATTAACAACGTTAGTAATAATGGAAATTTAATTCAGACGTACCTTATCTTTTTTACATAAACTTTTGCAAAAAATAAAATAAAAACACTAATTTATTTATTAGATGAGCATCTGATATTTGTTATTGATAAAGATTGAATGACCTGAGCGTCTGAACAGTTCAGCAATTTAGTGTCACAATTTAAAAAAACAATTATTTATATATATATGTGTGTGTGTGTGTGTGTGTGTGTGTGTGCGTGCGTGCGTGCGTGTGTTTGTGTAACTCAATAGTGAATGCCTACAGCATTCAATGGGTAGAGTGGTAAAGTGGAGGGACCAATGGTTCCTTGGTCCCTCTGTTCACTGAAGCTGTGCAGGTCACTTCCAGTTCAGACTTGTGGGAATAATCTATTTAGTGTCCACAGATTTTTTTTTTTTTAAATCATAGCGCATTCTCATTATTATTCTATTATTACCTTAGCAACAGTTGCCATGCTGCTGACAATGATGTCATCAGCTTGACTTCAAATGATGTTTGTGTCACGAGGCCCTTCTAACGATGACTTTGTGATGTCAAAGAGTCCATGACGTCACTCACCAGTGAAACTGTCCGACCATTAACACAAAGTTCATTTGGATGTTTTGGCTTAACACAGTGAAGATGAGAAAGCAGTTCACATGCTGTCTGTTGTGGATATGATTCAGACGTTGCTCAGACTAAGGAACCATCTAAGAGTGGACCAAACGTTGAGCCTCGCCAAGCCTCCGAGATGGTACAGCCTCAGAGTCCCTTTGAGTCGGGACCAAGTCAGATGCCGGTCCCGACTCAGAGGGACATGGAGGCCGACCCGAGTCAGAGGCAGGTCCCGACTCAAAGGGACTGAGTCAGGACTCAAAGGTCCTATTTTTGGGTGTCCCGAGGTCAGTCGGGACCTTTGAGTCCTGACTCAAAGGTCCCGAGGGACTGGAATCAGATGCCGGTCCCCCTGAGTTGGGACCGGCATCTGACTCGGGACAGTCTCCCAGTTCCTCTGAGTCGGGACCGGCATCTGACTCGGGACAGCCTCCCAGTCCCTCTGAGTCGGGACCTGCCTCTGAGTCGGGACAGCCTCCCAGTCCCTCTGAGTTGGGACTGGCATCTGAGACAGGACGGCCTCCGACTCTGGGCGGCCTCCAAATTCCTTTGAGTCGGGACCGGCATTGTCCTGACTCAAAGGGACTTGGAGGCTGTCCAGAGTCAGATGCTGGTCCCGACTCATAGATACTTGGAAGTTGTCCAGAGTCGGAGGCCGTCCTGTCTCAGATGCCGGTATTAACACAGAGGCCGATCCTGACTCAGTGGGATTTGGGACCGTCCCGAGTCGAACACCGTCATCTGACTAGGGACGACCTCCTTGTCCCTCTGAGTCGGGACCGGCATCTGACTCTGGACTTCCTCCAAGTCCCTTTGAGTTGGGACCGGCCTCCGACTCGGAACAGCCTCTTGAGTCGGAACTGCCTGGATCAAGAGCTTGTAGAAAGTACAGAGTGCATTTCTTGGACCTCCAACAAAATTAATCCTCCATTAAGTGGCAAGTGTTGTCTGATTTTTATTCAGGTGAGTTCTTGTAATTCTGTTTTGGAAAATCCTGAACCAGACTAAAAATCAACGGAACACATTTTAAGACTCTACACATGAGAACATCTGTTTTGGAAGATCCTGAATCAGTAGACCTTGAGGACTAGGAAATAAATGAAAATATGAGAAATGTGTGAACATTGGTGATCTAGTTTTGGAAGACAATGAATCATGAAACTTGGAAGACCCCGGTCAGACTCCAGTACAGCAGACAGCACTCACTGAGTCCCTCCGAGTCGGGACCGGACTCTCAGTCAGGACCAGTGATGGCATAGTTACTTTGAAAAAGTAACTTTAATCAAATTACTGATTACTCTCTGAAAAAATAACTTAGTTAGATTACTGATTGCTCGATTTGGAAAGTAACTAAGTTACATTAAAAGTAACCACTACTTCCAGCAGCTACTAACAACAACAACGCTCCGCCACCTGTGAAAATCACATTGATCTTTGCCAATACTTCATTGCAAGTTATTTTACAATGGTAACATCAACAATGTGTCTCCACTTAAACGATTGAACTGTAGGGGAGATTGTTTAATGCTTACAACAGTACAAAAAAAACTTAAGTAATTTGTGTGTGTTTTTGTGTGTTTCTGTTGTCTGGAAAACAGTAGAAACACAAAGACACACGCGGGACGGATCATCCGGGAAATGATGGACAGAGAGAGTCTGACTAAAATGTCAGACAAATTCTGAGGTTTATGTCTGTTTTTTAAGCCCAAAAACTGCCAGTCATTAAATCTACTAGCGACTTTAAAACAAACAAACAAACAAATAAAAAATAAAACAGCCCAAAGCCGCTTATTATAATCAGACTTGGTGAGCGAAACTCAAAATAGTTCCTGTTTTTCCAGCAACAAAATGCATCTACCTCCATTGATTATGTTTCTGTCGCTGCTGATACTGTCGCAATGAAACTCCCCAATTGAAATATAGTTACAAAAGAAGATAGTAAATATATATATAAAATTATAGCAGTTCATGATCATATTGTATTTCACTTCAGTTGAAAATAATGTTTGCTTGTGAATAGGTTTACTATATCAATAAAGTTGTGTATATGTATTTTTCTTCATCATCTCTAAAAAAGAAAACACACCAAACAACAAAACAGCACATATTTGTTTCTACTGAAGATGAAAAGTTCTTAATTTAAATATGTATTTCTGTTAACCTCCATTCTGAACACTGTCCCCAGCAGTAAATCGCTGTCCCGCCTTCTCACAGATGTTCTCCATTCAGCTAATTAACTGAAAGGTGGGTAAAAAGCGTCAGTCTGGTTGGGTCTGAGGTCCATTAGTCATGGTAGCTCATTTCTGTCTGGGTTTGCTGGTTTTAGCTGTCTTATCAACAGCTGTTGCTGACCCAGGTGCTTGCCTCACACATCTGTGTGGATGTTTTTCCAGCCACGTGTGCTTTTAGTGGTCACGAAATAACCTTGGACCTTTGTCCGCAGATATCAAAGTGGTCTGTGCGAAAAACTCTGTGCGGGTGACATGGAGGGTGGCCCCCCAGTTCGTCCCGTACGCAGCTCGATTCTTCCTCGGAAGCTGCATGCCGTCGTCGTGGAAAGTTCTGCCCACCGGAGAGGGGGAAGCACATTTCAACTACAAGTTCTATGACTGCAAGTTTACCAAGCAGGTGAGGTTGTCTCCACCTCGCTGAAACATGAATCGACTAACGTCTTCAGTTGATTAGTCGGCGCATGCGTTTGCCACTAACAGGTTCTTATCGTCTGCAGCTGAAGGGAAAACACATAATTTATCAGAACGAGCTGAGCTTCAGGCCACAAGCGAAACCGAAGCCTGTCGCCTTTAAATATCCCATCCAATGTGTCGAGAAACGGTAGTAATTAATTTTGTTGCAGTATGATTAAAAGAGCAAGGTATGGTGCTGAGTCTTCACCTGTTCCAGACCTGAAGGAAGAATCCCCCACTTCCTGAATCCTGGCTCAGGTGTCTCTGAGGGCCGCAGTAAGCTCGTCTTTCATATGGCTCTCCTGAATGGTAAGTTCTCCTGCCGGGTAAAGTTGTAGTTATAGATTCTGGGATGATTAACTTGTCTTCTTCACCTCCACCCCTCAAAGAGGAATTGACGGGCGTCTCAAAGACGAATGTGATTCCCCTCGGCTCATTCTTACCAATCTGGGCAGCTGTGGAGCAGAGGTCCCATCAACCGCTGCTGCTGCTCATGGATGAGTGCGTTGCAGCCTCAACCCCAAAGCTGGAACCTGGCAACCAACTTTATCCCATTGTTGGCAATCATGGGTAGGTGTTAAACTTTTTTTTATTTTTTATTTTTTTGTCCTTAAATGCTCATTGGACTTGTTGCTGACTTGAATTGGGACCACTAGGTGTCTGCTAGAAAGTAAAAGGGGAAGCTCACTGTTCCTTCCTCGTTACCATTCATCAGCCATAATTCTCTATCTCCAGTCATTCAAGTTTGGGATGGGAGGAGAGGTGAGTCTAGAGTTGAACTGAATATATTTTTATTCTCCCCTCCAGTTTGTGAACCATCTGTTCTTGCGATTCCCAGGTATACATTCACTGCAATCTAATCGTGTGGGATGGGGATTATTTTGATAAACGAAGGAAGGCTTGCCATGTGAAAGATGGGAGGTAACTATATGTACACAGCTTGTATGTTTCTAAATCTCTCCTGGTTTCTAAGAACAAGGTGCTTAAAACTACTGTGCTCATCAGCTGGGAGCTGCTTGATGACCCGGCTCGGAGCTCTCTGTGCAACTGCTGTGATAACTCTTGTAGTCCTCGCACCAAAAGGGCAACAAGCTGGGGTAAGTGTTTTTTTTTTTCCCGTCCAATAGCCTTGCTGTACAGGTTGCCTCTCCTGTTTTTAATTTATTTATTTTCTTAAGAGCCCCACAGCATGGCCTTCAATTCTGTGTTGGGACCCATCATCATAGTCGACCAACCGGCCTCTATGGTAAAACCCTCACTGCCTGAGACTGACGCAGGTGGGAGTGTGAGGTTTGTGACGTTTCTGTATCCAAGCTTTGCACCAATGCATGTCTCACTACAGATGTAATTGTCTATTTGCAGGAAATTTAAGTTGAAGCTGAACTCCAAGGTGCAGCATGTGGCATTCATGATTTACAAGACTCTGGACACCAGTATTGCTTTTTTATTTTGAGAACCTGAAATTGCCTGATTTGATGCTGTTGTATTTGAAAGGGGTGTTGTGAAATAAACCCTGCACTAATTTTGACTTTTTGATCTTGGTTTATGGGTGAACATGTGCAATAAACTTCACTAGATCATCTTAAAGGTAAATCTTTCAACTGCTACATGAAAACTAAGCATTTCTCAACCAGCTGAACACTCTGGCTTATTCATGGATTGAAATCCAGAATTTATTTTTTTTTCCCTCTGACCATTTGTATTGGCCAACATTAGCTTATGGTCAAACCCTAACTTGCAATAATAATTACAAGGCAGGGATGAGCCTAAAGTGCCACAGCAAAGATAAAGAGAACCTGATCTGGACTGAAATTAATTTGAGTGGCAAAGTTTTAAGATAAAAGCTTCCCTTTCATTTGGAAATTAAGGTTCAAATGTGACACTGAATTTTTATTTTTTCTTGGAAGGGTCCTATGTCCTCTGTATCGTAAGGACATGTTATGGGACTGCTTTCATTTTCAGCTGGACTTCCCATACTTGCAGTACCAAAAGCTCAAAAGAAATTGTTGGCCAGCAACTTGAATGCTATACTTGGGGTATTAAAGATGAGACAAAACTAAACATGACTAAAAGGTCGCTATCAAACTAATCTGGACTTCAGTTATACTTTAGCAAAAACCACAGGTTTGTCACCTTCATGCTATACTGCATTGTTTAAAATATCTTACATATTTTTTTCTGTCATGTTATAAGAAATAGTCCTGCAATAAATTTCACTTTCTGAAATGAGTAACCAATTTGATTTCATAATCTAACTTTTATGTACCTGTTCCAGTGCTAAGAGATTGGAATTACTTCTGTATTGACTAAAGTTGCTTATGCAATACAGAGAAAGAAAAGCCAGTGACCAGTCTCTGGAGCAACACATTAAATACAACCAGTAAAACTGCTTGCGACCCCCTAGTCCCTGGAATGGACAGTGTTTTCCAAACAAGTTTAATAGAAATCTGATTTAAGCACTACTTTGAGTAATCTGGCATAAATATTGAACATTTTTGTTTCCCCCAAAAAAATATTAGATATGGTTTGTCATTTTGAAGTTTTATCATTTACCTCAGTTATTTGACAAAGATGATATCAGTGTCTATCTTTAGATGTCTTGAATACAGCATGGACATTTAGTCAATTTATCACAGGAAATACACACCCACACAGACACACACAGATACCTAACAGCTAGTAAGAGAGATCAATTGACACAGTCATATTTTTGGACTTCGAAGGAAGCCTGAGTACTTGTGGAGGTCCTACGCGTACATTGGAAGAACATCCAAACGTTGTGTGGAGCAGCTCTGGCCAAGATTAATACGAAGGATCTTCTTACTGCGAGGAGACAGTAATCATCATCAACTAGTAGAATCCCAAGTAGTCAAACTGACACTTGGCTTTCTAGACCAACCATTTCCTAGTCACGCTTTTTATGCATGTGTTTCATAAATTAACACAGACATTATCCTTGTCTCATAACATAAATAAAAGAAAGCTAAATGGCACAAGAAAAGGGTAAATGGAATAGGAAGTTGGTCGATTATCATAGAAACTAGAAAATTTTGACATTTTACAAGTTAGAATACATTATTTGCCCTTGATGGTTTCGGAACCCTTAATCTATGGTAAAGTAATATCCTAAGTCATTGTAAGCCTCTGTAGATTAACAACAGCAACAACAATATATGTGAAGTGTCTGTGAATGTGATAATATAAATTAATTTTCAACACCACATAAGCCATATGCGTGCTTTTATTCTCTGTCCTTCTTCTTACCATAAAATGAAACATTTGATGAGTTGGATCTTTTGGGAGATTTGAATTAGAGCCTTGCTGCAATTACACCAATTAATGGTCTATGGCTGACTGCTGCTCGCAGGTGAAAGTAATTCCCTTGATTGAACTGCAACAGTCAGTGAGACTAAAAGCACAGCTGGGAGAAGTCCTCAGTTTTCATTCATGATGGCTTTCTTTTGGTATTGTGAGTTCCTTCTCTGGTTGGTGGCTGTTGGGTTGGCTGCTGCAGGTAGTGGCGCTAACATATAGATATTTCTTTTTCCACAAACAATGTTCTAGCCTCCTTACAAACTTCTCCTTTATCCTCTCCAGATTTGAAACTGGACTGTGGGCCTGATCATGTGACCCTGGTTTGGTCAGACAGCAGATCCCAGGCCGATACGTCGCTGTTTCGTCTTGGTAGCTGCTTCCCTACCACCTTCACGCCCCGGGAGGTGTTCTTCAACGTGGAACTCGACGACTGCAACTTTAGGAGGCTGGTGAGCAAGAGATCCCTGGCCAAACAAAGCATATCAAACTATTTCAGACTGCATCTTGACTCTCTTCTTTAACAGGTCTCTGGCAATGACCTGAACTACACAAATGACCTGTTCTACGTGTCGTCTCCTGACTCTTATGTGCTTCCTTTTACTCTTCCAGTGGTCTGCTCCTATCAAAGGTAAGAGTTGGGAGACTAGATTTGAAACTGTACTCAAAGACTAAACCGACTTGTCTTCAGGCCCAAAAACTGGTACCCAATGCTCTATGAGCCGGTGTCCTCTACATACGGAGTCGAAGACTTGGAATTCCATATTGAACTCATGAATGGCAAGTTCTAACACTCAATAATTGACAGTGACCATCCACAAATCAAACTGAAAGCTGTTTTGGTGGGACTTTTCAGCTAACTTTTCAGGCCCTGCTGAAACGTCATCCTTTCCCCTGGGTTCCATGATCCCCATCAAGGCTAGTGTGGATGCAGTAGCCCATCAACCCTTGCTGCTTCTGCTTGAAGAATGTGTTGCCGCAACCACATCAAACCTCGAGGTTGCTGTTGAAACTTACACCATAATCACCAATAAGGGGTACTTCAATTAACTTTTCATATGAAAGATTTTTTTTTCTTTTTCCATTTTCCCCCTTGTTTGCAACTCTAATAACTCTTCTAACTTGCAGGTGTCTTGTAGACAGTAAAATCACCCGCTCAAAATTTGAACAAAGACAGAAGCCCTCAGAACTCCAGCTATCCCTACAGGCATTTAGGTTTGGGCTTGGACAAGAGGTAACTTGTTTCTTTATGTGGATGGCTTGTTAGTGAATGGAGTCTGACAGGAGTCTCTTAGGTATACATCCACTGCACCATGTCTGCTTGGGATCCCAACGGTGTTGACAGCACCAAGAAGGCCTGCCATTATGTGAAGGATCACGGGTAAAGATAAAGGCGACACCTTGCTGTTGCGTCATCCTGAAGCTCGAGCTGAATGGTGTGCCTTTTGTTTTCAGTTGGGAGTTGCTGGATAACCCTGTGTACAGTAGCATATGTGACTGCTGTGACTCCTCCTGCAAGACCAGAAGAGCAAGAAGCCCAGGAACAGGTATGAATCGTAGTTTAAAAACAAAACTTTATTTTTGTGTGTGTACTAATTGAATTCTATTCTTTAGGCAATGGTTTGTCCCAGAAGGCAGTGATTGGCCCACTTACCATTACTGACTTGGCCTAACATGTGAAGCTCTGACTGGAACTTCTGGAGAGCCCTTGAAGGAATGTGGAATCTATAAATACTTTACAAATGAGGAAAAGTCTCTGTATATTAACTGATAAAGTTTGGATTAAAGCCTGGGGGGAAAAAAAACTAGGAAGGATACAATAAATTGACTAGAACAGCCCTCTTGTCCATAGCTTGAGTTTTTTTTTTGGGGGGGAAGAGGTGTCAAATGGTTTTTATGCACATGTTCTCCATAAGCATAACTAGACAAATCTTAACTTGAGAGCTCATGGAAATGCAATAAATTGAGCATTTTCACTTTAAGCTGAATGCACACTATATCCCACGTTCCAGCTTATTGGCAAAGGATGCACATGTAAAAACAGATTTCCTGCTCTAAACCACGCTCCTGCATCACAAACCTTTGGGTGGAAAAATGTACGTTTATGTACTGAACAGTTTAAGGACAAATTTCAATTTAACCTCAAATCATGAATTTGGTGCCTTTGGTCTTCAGCTGGTCCAAACTCAAATTGGATTATACAAAAGATGCAATTTATTCAATCTGTCGCAGAAAAGAGAAACCGCCTTTGTTGAACTGTCACGGCTGACGGCACCGGAAGTTCCACGGTTTGAGCTTCGCCGTCTCTACGTCACTTGACCAATCAAAGTGGACTTAAGCCTCTTACCGAAATTCAATTGGTAAGCTTAATGTACGGAAGCAGGTTTTTTTCCTGGACAAAAGGTAAGGTGGACGGACTTTATTTTAGAACGCCGCTGTTTAGGAGCTCAGTTCGGTTTCCACCGCCAATAAGCTGCCAAATATTGAAGCTAACTGACTTGCTAGCTGCTTTGAGGTGGTGACGTCCTCAGGATGAGTTAGCTTATGGCGACGTTGGAAACGTAACCGTTCTGAGCTTAATTTTGATTCAGTAACCGTTTATGTAATTGACTAAATTTTTAACTGCTGCATGTTTTTTTTTCCCTTTTTTTTTAAATTTATAATGTAGGATAGCCAGGGCCGGATGTAGGAGACCGTGGGCCGCTGGGCTGGAGCTACATTTGGTTACCACCCCACAGAGGCTCCTTTTTTGTTACTCCGGTAAATGGCAATAGACTTATCACGTAAAACACAGATCATAAGTTGTAGGCCTTGTTAAGTTAGTATGTCATCTATAAAGAGAATAATTTCTGAAGCTACATTCACATAGAAACAGATTTCCATTTGCAATTATCTGTCACACAAATGACTTGTGCAAAGGAGTCAGCAGCTTTTATGTCATTGTAATGTGAGCTTGTCTTATTATCATCCTTTTTAAACGGCTACATACTGATTATGTTCAGAAAAAAAGCTACACATTTAAAAATGTTTTCTTTGTAAACAAATAAAGTACTCTGGTGTTTGATGAAAGAAAATACTTTGAGACTCGGTAAAGACTGTTTTTGGAGTTGGGGGCGCATTCATTTTTTATAAAAATAAAAGTCAGCATGGTGGAAAAAGGGTTATCTGTAGAGGTGTGAAGCTCGGAGAGATCTTCAAAGACAATTTTGCAAGTCGTATTGCAGAAAAATGTAGTTCAGCAAAACACTACACTTTTAAATAAAGTATAAAAAGTCATCTACAGCCTTCTCTTTACTTATTGTTATGGTCTATGTTGTGTTTATCTGTTCCACTCAACCCAACAGAATTTTTTGCTAGTGAAAAAACACTGATGTGCAATTAGACATTTGACATAAAATTGAAAATATAAATTTATTTTAAGCTTTTCAAATTTTACATTTTTTTAATATAAAGTTCATTGTAGTTGTTGATTTCCATTGTCATATTTTTACTATTTAAACTTGTGTTTATCTGTTCCACTCAACCCAACAGAATTACGGTACATCAAAGTTTGAGGTTTTAACGTCACAAAAACGCGAACGAGTTTGCCTGCCGATAATATCTTCTTGATTTAGGAGACGGTAGAAGTCAAAGATGGACTGGTTCCACTGCAACCAGTGCTTCAAGAAAAGCGGGTCGAAGTTCGCTGTGTCGAGCTGTGGCCACATCTCCTGCGAAGCTTGCATTAAATCAAGTGAGGATTTTGCTAATTGAGGTCGCTTTCATCCAACGCGGCTTTCAACAGATTGACTTCGTTGTTTTTGATGTCTGCTGTGTTTGTTAAATCCGTCAGAGCAGTGCAGTACATGTGGGGTGGCCTGCAGTTATCTGCCCATCACTGATCAGGTTGGTGACTCTGGCATAGATTCATTGCGAGTTATGATTGGACATCGTCTCAACTCACAATGGAAAATATTTCTTTTTTTTTTTTTTCTTCATTTCAGATGAAGCCACAGGAAAAGGTGTTTTTCATGGACCCTGGAAAGCTCATCCAGGCAAGGATGGAAAACATATCGCAGGTCTGTCCTATTTGTGCATCCTGCCTGACGACTTGGAGACGCTTTCATGGGTCACTGAGGGAGTTTTCACACTCCACAGATTGCCATTTTCCAGCAGAAGCAGATGGAGAGAGTCATGGTACACTTTAAGAACAAATCCAGTGAACTGGAGAGGCATTTGGAAGAGGTTTCTGAGCAGGGTTACAGGTGATTTTCACGTTGCTACACAGCAGCTGCGCAAAATCAAATAAAATAAAGGAAAAGTTAAGACTGTGACTCTTATTTCTTCCTGCTGCTCTGATCACAAGACAACTGTCAGAGCTGAAAAGAGAGAACGGTGAGCTGAAGAAGCAGCTGTCAGAGCTGAAAAGAGAGAACGGAGAGTTGAAGAAGCAGCTGTTGGAGCTGCAAAGAGAAACTGCCGAACTGAAAAAGCCACTCTCTCAAAGGAGGGCAAGTGTTAAATTATTATTTTTTTTTTATCATTTCCCCATGTTGAATTCATAAACACGCTGAACTTTTTTCTTCTTTTGTGCCGCAGGTTTCTCCTGGACAGTACCAAACTACTGGGTAAGCATCTCTGTGTTTATGTTCACAAACTATGAGTTTGTTCGAGGTCAAATCATTCTGTGGCGTTTTCCGAACTGCAGCGCTCAGAGGGTTTCGCTCCCAGTTGGCGTCACCTCACCAGGTAAAACCAGTGATTGAAGCTCAGAACCTGTTTAGGGTTGGTGTCAGTTTCGGTGCTTTAACGTTTAAAATGGCGTGATGTCTGTTTTTAATAGTTACTCCTCGATCAAGAGCAGTGAGGTAGGTTTTTTTTTTTTTTTATCTCATAATTGCTTATTGTGCAGATGCATCTATAAAAATTAGAATATGATGAAATATGCCCAATATGTTTTGTCTCTAATTTCAGAAAGTAGAAATTTTCTATGGATTTTATTGCGCAGAATTAGGACAATATGGATGAAAGTTGTATTGTAATGTAAGAGTTTTATATCAGTGATTATGAATAAATATTGATTAGCTTTTTTTTTGTTTGTTTGAAATATCCAGAACACTACCAAAATGGAAACATGACCACCAATGTTTTATCCACAATTTCCTCTTGAGTTATTGTACTCTTTTTTTTTTTCTCTTTTCCTTCCCTGCTGCTTTTCATTTTTATGCAGTTATGAGACACGGTGGAAAAACCTTAAAACTGCTGCTATGCAAGTTACTCAACAGGTTGTTGCTAGGTAACCAAAATAATAAAAATGTAAATCTACAAAAATATTGTCAAGCCTTTAATTCTTGTAATTTTGATGATTATGGCTCAAATATGATAAAAACCTGAAATTCTGTCTCCGAAACTATAAAGGATTGTGAAAAATCTAATATTGAAAGCTCATGGTGTTAAACCCTAATCAACAAATTAATGCAAAACATCTGCAAAGGTTCCCTGAGCTTTTAAATTGTGTCTCAATCTGTGTGAGCAATGGTCAAGAGAACAGTAGTCCAACATATTCTTAGAAAGTTGAGTGGCAGGAGAACGTGTGGTAGGAAACGCTGCACCTCCAACATGGAGAACCGAAGCCATGGGAGGATTTATTAGGACAAAATCCATTCAAAAATTTGGGGGAAGAAGTCGGAACATCTAGAGCTGCTACGCATAAATTAATCCTACAAATGGGCTGCAAGCATCTTACGTAGGCCAAGGAGAAAGAGTCCTTGTTTTATATTTCTTATTCACTACAAAAGAAATTTGGGAATCTATCAACATGAGGACTTGCAAAAAGATTTCCTCTGACATAAAAGTACCCAAAATTGCACTGATGAAAAACAGCAGAAAGTTTTCATTTAAAAGGAGACCCAACTAAGTACTGATTGCAAACATACTTTTCACAAGCCTGACATTTCACAACGTAACACAATTTTCCAAGAAACTGAATTTTTGAGTTTTCGTCATACAAAGAGGCATGAAAATGATTTGAAATATTTCATTCTGTGTTATAAAGACATACAACAATTTCACTTTCTGAAATGACAAAAAATATTGAACTATTTAAAACATGTTTGAGATGTACCTTTTCCCTCAGTTTCATACATACTCATCTCAATGAATTACTTTTATTTTAGTAATTCAATCCATTCCTTTGGGGTTATTGAAGTATTTTTTAATTTAATTTCAATAGTTAATTTTGATGATTATAGTTTGCTGAAAATACTATGTAAAGGACAAATGGAGGCTATTTAACATAGTGATATTATGTTGTGGCCTTCACCATCATGTGGTTCATCAATCTGTCCACTTTCTTTTAGAAAATCTATTTTCACAAGCTTCTGCAATATTCATATTGTCTGAATTTCATTAGCTGCAAGTCATAATCATTTACAAAAAAAGACAATTGGAATTTGTCACTGTATGTCACATATATAATGATTTTCCTGTTTTTATTTAATGCAATGAAATTAAATAACTTCAATGATGTTCGGATTTCCTGACATGCAATTATAAAACACGTCAAAATGCATTTTGCCTCAGTCATGTAGGCTCCGGAGAGTCTCAGAGGTGGAGCAGGGATAGAGGCATTTCTCTCACTGTAAGAGTGGATTTATTCCCATGTTTCCAAACACTTGCACATTTTTAATCTTTGTAGCATGAAATATAAAAAGGGTTTGATTCTACTTCCTCTTAATCAGACTCCTGGATCCATCGCTTCCATCTCCAGCCACAGCTCTCTTCATGAATTCAGTGAGTAAATTAATTTGTCGACGACTTAATTCAACATCGATCATACAAATGTTGATTTAAAAAATAAAAAAATACACAATTTGTCTTTCTTTTCCCATTAAGGAACGTCACCATCTTTTGGCACTCCGACAAGGTAAGTAACAACTTCCTGGGATCTTTTGGCCTTGAAGCCTCATGTCACGAGTGATTATCTGTAAGAATTTTTCCACCGTAGAAATGAGTCAATTCATTTGTCCTTCCCAGATCCCAGACCTCTGCTTTCCAGTTCCCATTTATGAATGGAATCTCACTTCACTCACCCAGACAGTGAATAACTCACCGCTCTTGCTGGGAATGCCTTTGATGTGAATGACACCGACTAGTTGATTTCTGTACGTGAGCCTGGCCAACATTCTTAATCTTTGTATTCCCCAATGTCGAAATACCTGGCCGTATTGTTCACCTGGATTAAAACCTCTATGTAAACTTTGGGTTGATTTTTAATAGTCTACTTCCCTTGAAATGCACGTGATAACTAATTATCAGTAAAAGTCGTTTTTATAGGACAATTTCAGAACAAAATTTACACAGCAGGAAGTCGTCACAGGTGTCTCTATTCATAACACACACAAACAAATCTTTGTACACTTGATTATAATGGCAAAAACACTTAGCTATTTTCCAGTGACACAATTGTGCAAATGAGATTTTCTCTTTTCAAACAGGGAAAAAAAAAAGAATAAAATAAACTTGAAGACTTTACATGTACAGATTTACATCAACAGCATGACAGTTGCATGACCTTTTCATGAGCAACGGAAGGAAAAACTTTAGTCACACATGCCACTTTGTCAAGTTTCTGGCTGTTTGACCTTTGGACGAACATTTGCAAAGAGCCGAACTCCGTTTAAAGCTGACATCAATTTCTAAAGTCAACAAGAAGTACTTAGATAGTCAACTGTACGTGAACTTATGACCCCGATTGTATTGCTCTGTCACTCTGTGTGAAATGTTACCGGTCTTTGGATTTTGGTTCATTTTCACTTCTACTTCAAAACCCACCTTCGGCCCACATTTTAAACTATAAAATTACACCCTATGCCTATGAAATGCTAACTAACTCATCGTCTAGTAATGTAGCAATTCTGCCATCTAAGCAATGATGTAATTCCTGCAACCTGGTTCCACCATAACTGTTACAAACATGCTGCAGAATGCAAATGACAAGCAAGGCATTCAAATGGTAAGTAAAACACCTCCACAGAGTGAGGAGCAATTTAGGAAATGTATCGGAAATGCATTACACATATGAAATGTACTGTGCTGTTGTTTTAAAACAAGTTCCACAGCAAGGAGTAAAAATAATGACACTAATCAGTACAGATTGTGAAATACTAGTATATTATTAGCATAGGGGCAGCAGGTTGGAAAACCAAAGTGCAAGATGTTATATTATAAGGAGCAAGTCCAGTGTGCTTTTCATGAATACAATATAATGGCTAGAAAGGAATGATCAGTCAATAGTTTGTCAGTGTTGCCGTTTTCTTTTCTGGATCTACAGCTAGTTACCTGATTATGTTATACTGCTACAAATAGAATACATTAGAAAAAAACAACTGTAGTGATATCTAAACAAAAGGAGGTCAAAAATATAGCAACCCAGTGTAGAGGTTACTGTTCTATTTACAGCAACAGAGCCAGTAGAAATATAATTCAGATCTAAATATATTAGGATAAACAGGAAATGCAGCATATCTATATAAAAAAATACACAAACCACACTTTGGGCTTGTTTAGGGAAGACTGGATTTTACAACCTGCCTTAATTAAAGCAACATGAACCACAGCAATAATCACGTGTTGTGTTAAAGGTGTGTGTGAGGGGGTGGGCAGATCAGGGATTTTTTTTTTTTTTTTTTTTTAAGAAAAGGTCCTAACCCACAACAATTTCTTCATCAGTTTCCCCAACTTCTTGAGCCGCAAACCAGTCTCGCACTTGCTGGTAGCTCATTCTTGATTTCTTGCATAGTAGGTCAAGGTCTTTTTCATTTAGTGTGCCTGTCGTAAGGTAATAAGATACCAGTGGCTGGATATCGGGAGAATCTGTACTTGCTCTGCTTAGTTTTCGTTTGCGCCCTCCCCCGCCACGAGTTGAGGTTCCAGTGCCGTTCGACAGGCCGCTGCCGCTTTGCTGGGCAGCAAGTTCTGCCAAGAACTGCTCGCGGACGCCCTTCACCCAGCGCAACTGGCCATTTTTGACGGCGTAGCGAGTGTCGCCAAACCACTGAATAACATCCGCCCTAGGTAAACCTGTGAGTTTGACAAGTTCAGTGTATTCCTCACTTGTGGGCCACTGGCACTTCAAAAAATGCTGCTTTAACACATCCAACTGCTCCTTGGTCTTTCTTGGACGTCCTGCAGGAGTGAGTGCAGGTGATGTGGACGTGGAAGGACCTGAGAAGCAAGTGGTTGGTTGTGAAGGACTGGCTTTAGTTGAATGCACCGACTTCTTTGATGCACGGATTCTGTGTGAATATGTTTTGGTGGGAGAGGCGGTAGGCGGTGGAGTGCGAGAGGGGGAAGAGCACGGAGAAGACTTTAACTCTACAACTTCTGGCTCAATCTTGCAATTCTTGGTCAACTGTAGCGGCTCTTCCTCAGTTTCTTGCTCCTCTTTGAAAGTATCTCCAGAAAGTTCTTCAATAACTTCATTTGCTTGTGGCTCGTGGAGCTTTTCCCCAAATGCTTCTAGACTGTTTGACAGAAAAGTCTGAAAGAAATGTGAATTTCTGATTCCGTTGTTCCGGCTTCCCTCATGGCTTTTCACCCCGTTTACTTGACGAGATTTTTGGCTAGTAAGTGAAAGAGGCTGAGTTTGAGATTGTGGTTCATGTTTGCTCCCAACTGAAGCCTGGTGAGAAAAGGTCTGGGCTGCTGCCAGACTTCCACGACCCACTCTCAGCTGATAACGACTGTCACTGAACCATTTGCGAATGTCATTGCGGCTCAGACCCGTTTCTTCCTGCAAACGCTTGAGCTCAGGCTCTGCAGGCCAGTTCTCTCTTAGGAAGCTTTTGCGCAGGGCAGCAAGTTGAGCTTTTGACTTTTTGTAGCGCCCGTGCCGGTACTGTTGCGAAGAGGACTCTGAGAGGTCAGGGGAGACGTCAGCTGTTGTGGTCGCTGGAGTGTCTGCTGGTGAGCGGTAGAAATATGAATCCTGAGGAGGCGGGAGACTGGACCTAAAACATGGAGGAGTAGATTTATGTGAATCTGGAGACTCACACTTTGCCATCTTTGTTTCTGGTACAAAAGCAATGGGATCGCACTCCTCCTCATCGCTGTCCTTTTCCTCGTCTAGGTTTTTGCTCTTGGTTTTTAAATTGGCTCCGTTTGTTTCAGCAGAGTCTTCACAAAGCTCAGGCACAGCCAACTTCCTCCTGGTCTCCTCAATCTCTTCAGAAGACCAGCTGATACCATATTTAATCCTCTGCACCATGAACCACACCTTAACTTTGTCCAGTGGCAGCACACAGACCCGAGCCAGGGTGCTAACCTCTTTGGACGATGGGTATGGAAACAAGTTAAAGGCATTGACAAGTTCTGGGATTGAGTCCAGTTCTCGGGTCTGATCGGACTGGGTCCATACCAGTTTGAGGCCCTCAGAAACCAGAGGCAGGCACACTACAGAGTTATGGTTGGTGGTGAAACTAGCCACGCCACTGGCACTGCTTTCTGCTGAGCTGGGGGAGTGCCGCAATTTCTTGGAAGAGCGTTTGGTCTCTGCCTTTTCTTCACGCTCTGGCTCCGTCATATCCACTTCAAAAGGCTCATCTAGGTCCACAAGCCGTCTGTCTCTGCCGTTACGTTCGGTATATGACGCCATGTCAGCTATCAAAATATGTTTCGCCATCTAGAAGGAAAAACAAACAATGATTAAGTTTTCTTTTTTTTTTTGTTCACCTCTTCTTCAAAGATAATATCACAGTGCAGAGAAGGACAATCTGTTCAAGAAAATAACTTTCTGTTCTGATTTCATTCTCAAAGTTAATCAGCAAATACACCCCTCTGCCTGTTCCCCTACTTATTCCAAACTCTCTACGAAACTAGTCGTATACTGTGTCAAGGCGCACTCTCCCCTCCCCCCAAAGCGTGGTGAATGACTTTTGTTTTGCCTGAGCTGAGGGGGGGATTGGTCCTAAAGGGGTGGGAGCACAGGGAATGAAAATCTACAAGGAATCCATCACTGTCTACTTGCTCACCCTAGCTGGTCAGGCTTTTGTTTCACTTCCAAGTTTCTCAGTCCTGAGAGATGAGAGAGGCCTCTTCACAGGAAAAGATATGGCAACAGAAACCTGCAGAAGGAGGAGGATTCGTCAGACTCATGTCTATGCCCTGGTATATGGTGAAACTAACGTGATCCGAAAATTTAAATAAATAAAAAAATCTATGCATGTACATTTAAGAATCCGGCAACAGGTGTTATGGTGACTTGTTAAGAAGGACTACGCAAATAAAGGTTTAAGTAGCATTTTAAGTCTTTGCACCACTTTTGATTCAGAAAATACATAAATCTGATGGCTAAAAAGTTGATCTGAACTACTCCTCTTGACTTTTCGTTTTAGTTCAGGGCTCCTTTATTCGGAACAAATAAGACTATTGCGCATTTAGTGAGGTTAGGTTACGCCACGGCTGACCTCAAGTCGCTGGGAACTGGGCTGAAGTGTTTTCGAGTGGGACAAACATTAGGTCACAAACCATCGCGTTAGTCATTGGTGACATACTTAAACCCCAGTGGGTGTACTGTATTGATGGCTCTCTCCTCAGTTTCGACACTTTTCCCTAACATAGGATGGCAGTTTATTCACGCTTTGTGGAGCTGGGTTCGGTAAAGCGCTGTGAAAGTTGACCACTGTGCCAGCAACAATAGCGGTCCGGTGTGGCCCCCCTCTTTGTGGCGTATCAACTAAAACGCTTCGCACTGCACAGGCGCACTTCGTCGCCAGACACGCTTCAGTGAAACACAAAAATAAACTTACCGAAATTGCCGAAATACCCCCTTAATCCCCGGGGTCCGTCCTGGCGACACGTAAAGCAGAAAACCCGAGCCTACTCCACGCTCCGAGGATGTGTGGGATTGAAGTTGGAGGCACCGAGCGAGGAAACAATACCGTCCATCTATTTGGCTGACCCTTGTCTTATTTTCACCAAGCACCTCGACGGATTACGGTCAGGATTCAAAGATACGACGCAACCAAGTTTGTCCCCAGCCGCAGGAGTTCAGTCGCTGGCTAATTCCCGGTCAGGGACACAAATATCCAACTCGGGAGATTAAAAGGCTGAATGCAGTCGCCGTTTGTTCCTCCCCCTCGGTCGGTCCGTTGCTGCTTTTGTTCTTTAACTGTGAAGTGTTTCCCCCTGTCCGGCCAAACCAACGCGAGGCGGAGCCGAGGACCAGGAAGCCCGGAAGGCCCACATGACTCTCCCCTCGCTGACGGCTGGGTGGGTGTGCCAGTCTGGGCGAGCAGGCCGTGGATTGGAGGGAGAGCGGGCCAGTATCATGAATCCGCCACGGAGACCCAATACCGACTGCCCCGCTGCAGCCTATGGTGGCATCAGAGAGACGGGATGACGCCGAGAACCATCTTTTAAACTGAACGGTTCTTTTTGAGCCAGTTTTGTACTGTATTGATGGCCGAATCAGACTTGAACTGTCACAAACACAAGTATTTACATAGGACAAATGAATATAAATGTATTAAAAATAAATATATATAAATCTGCTTTATATCAACATTTTTGTCACATGGCTGAGATTAAAAAAAACATAAGAAAACATTCGTGAACACTGTAATCAGTTTAAATAAGGTTATGTTAGCTATTAAACCTGATCCTATGTGACCCAAATTGTTAAATCATGATTTTACTATGTTGTTTTTTTTTTTACAATTCATATAACACATTGAAACTCTTTCTTTTACTACAAAGAAATACAGATTGAACACAGATATATTATTAAGTACCTTAATGCCTGTCTACAGGGAGAAATGTTTTAACACAATAGCAATCAACGAATATTTGATTGATTACTGCATAAATTACCAAATAGTAATTAACGCAGCCTCCCATCCTGCATTTGTTAAATCCAGTAAGTAGCGCGTTATTCAACAGTGATTTTCAACGTAAACAATGAGGGCGTAAACAATGGAAAGGTAAACAATGGAGGGCGATGGGCATTGTGTTGCCGGAAAAACAGGAACTATTTTGAGTTTCGGTCGCCAAGTCCGATGATTATAAACGACTTTGGGTTCGTTTTTTTCTAAAGTCGCCAGCAAATTCGATGAGTCGCTGGTTGAGGTTTTGGGCTTGGAAATAAACAGACATAAATCCCAGAATTTGTCCTACTCTCTCTGTCCATCATTTCCCGGATGTTCCGTCCCGCAGTGTCTTTGTTAATGTCAAGTTAATATATTTGCTGCGAATGACGTCAAGCTTCGCGTTGCGCTACAAAAAACCGCAAACATCCGGACTAATATGAAGAGCGGGAGAAACGTGAGAACAGCCACGAATGAACGTGACCATGAGGTTGTGGAACTAAACGCCATTATGATAATTGGCATTGCATTGGCAGAGCTCAATGTGATTTTCACAGGTGGCAGAGCCTTGTTTTTAGCAGCTGCTGAAAGTAACTAAAAAAGTTACTTTTCATGTAACTTAGTTACTTTCCAAATCAAGTAATTAGTTATCTAAGTCACTCCTTGAAAAAGTAATCAGTAATCTGATTAAAGTTACTTTTTCAAAGTAACTATGCCATCAATGCTTATATCTTCAACTGGCTGCTTTACGTAGTAGTAAAAAATAAAAAATAACGGGCCTATACACTTTATGAATGCTATATTTTTTTTTTCCAGAAATGAGTAGGATAAATAAACAGCAAGAGACTTAAAACAAAATCCTTTGTTGAATTGTATTTTAGTTGGAAAATATATTAGTTATTTAGGCAGATAGAAAATAAGCTGAAAGTTCTGAATGTCAACTGGTTTCTTATTGTAGTCCTATTTTTAACCTGTAAGACACAAGGAACATGAGATGGCACTCCTTCACCGATAAGGGGCGATGCTATTCCTTCTGGTTTATCTACAGCCGTGCATCCACCTCAATGTCCCCTCAGGGAAAAATAAGGCTCATTACACGAATGAAGATCCTGCCAAAAAAAAACAGCGCATCAAGCACAAACAATGACTGCCTGCACATCGAAGAAAAAAGAAAGAGCAACAAAAGCAGAAATTAAGTACGAGTGCAGCCTAAACATAACACTAAAACTCTACATTCAATGTAAAAATCACACTTCTTTTTAGCTGATTGGGTTGAACTTCACATTTTTATCCTTCAAACATCTTCAGGGAGAAGGAGCTCATGTCTGATAACCCAGAACGACCCCAGTTCCTATTTTTCTTCCGTCTATACAATAGTAATGAAATACATTCTGTGGTTAGTTCAAAAGAACTTGCACAGTTAGTGTTGTTACCATCATGTAGGGAGGGTTCACCTTTGACTGACATTAGTGCTACTGTTAAGCTTACTTCATGTGGACCTTCATTGAAACAACTTTAGCACATCTGCAACATTAAATGCTATAATTATTTGCAATCTGATTGAGTCAAGACAACTTCTTTCCCAAAAAAATACAAATATTTGTCATTCATGGAGTGAGGGATCCCATCAGAAGCGTCCGTTAGCCAGTGTGAGCACAAAGCGAGGCAGGCGAAGAAATGAGGGGACGACTGCTGAAAGCCAGGAGAGGTACGGGACCTGGGTCAGGAGGAATTTTAGGGACGTAAAATCTGTTACATCCCGCCCTGCGAAAAAAAAAAAAAGACAACATATTTTTCTTTGAACTGTTGCAGACTACCCTGTTGACTAACAGTACACCCTGTTAGGGATGAAATAAGTAACATGACCACTGGGAAGGTGGTTATTGTTGTATGATTATATGACTGTTAATAGTAAGATAAACTGTATTACCATCAATATCTTTAATGCCATATCGCCTGGCCAGGTCACACGTCATGAGCACCTTCCCAGTCAGGGACATCAGATTTTTATCTATCAGGCAAAAACAAAAGTGGCTTTAAAAAATGCATCTGTGTAAGATGTTAATTTACAGTGGCTCTTAAGAGTGCACAGATCTCTGTTAAAATTCCAGAGTTTGAGACTTAAAAATTTGATGATGATCAATCATTTTCTTCCACTGTCAATGGAACCTATGTCCTGTACAATTCAATGCGAAATAACAAAATCTGGGGGAATGTGAAACAAGGGGAGTAACATGGAGTAAATACTAAATTAGTACTTTATTAAAATAGTTTCTGATTTAATTGCCTCATTCATTCTTTTTGATAGGAGACGATCAGCGTCACTCACCCTGACATGGTGATATTTGCAGTCTCTGTCAAGGTTCTCAATCACATTTACTGATTGATAAACAGTAACTTCTATACATTTTTGTGATCTTTAATGATGACTTACCATTAGCCAGGCTGACGATGCACTTCCCACTTAGTTCTGTGGTTTCCCCATTGGCGAACACATATTTATACTGAGGAAAATCAAAGTCAACAGTTGAGAGAGAATTTGAAATTGACCATTTATGCAAACAGACTTGCTATCTAATGGTAGCCTACCTTGGGATTCAAACCCTGAGGTGCCTCTTTCTGTATTACTAACTGCGATACTAGCTCTGTTTGTACCGGTCCCGGCCACAGACTGATGGAGGCCACTCCTCTGCTTTTCAGCTCAACCGCCATGTCAGCCGCCAGCCTGTCACACTGGAAAAACACAAAACAAAAACAGGTTTTTATGACAGAAATGAGATATAAGACAAACTGCATTTTGATATCAAACTGGATGCCAGATTGAATCAAGTGAAGGAACTTACAGCAGCTTTACCAACCCCATACGCTACATTGAAGAGGTAATGCAGTCCGCCCATAGATGAAACGGTCACTATAAACCCATGACCTTGGGCCACCATCAAGCGAGATCCATAAACTGAGAAAAAGTAATGCCCCCTAAAAGAACACAACAAAAATAACAGTAACAACTGAAGTTACAGCTGATCAAAGGAAATAGGCAAGACGAGACTGTGGGACAATATGATTTAGTGTGTTTGAAAGGCAACAGTACCTCAGGCCTGTGTTGTTGATAGAATCCCAAATGGATGGATCAGTTTCCCAGAACTTCTTACCCATGTTGTCAAAGATATCCTGGAATGACAATTGAAAGTGAACGCACAATGTTCAAATCTCTACTTCCTTTCATTCATTTACTTCTTGTTTTTCCTAAAAATTGCACACCAAAATAACTTTTACTATTTTAAATCTGTATTTAATATGGAAGCTTTGAGGGGATGTTTCCCACATATACTTTTTCCAGATGGTTTTCTCAAGATCACAAGTTAACTTTCCAGCAGTTTTATCGAGATAACGAGTTATTCTGATGGCTTTCTTGAGATCACAAGTTGATTCCTTGATGGTTTTCTTATGATTATGACATGGTTTGTGTGCTAAACTTGATTCCATCCTTCAAATGCATTCCACCGATGAAAGGTTTATATACTCCTGCTGTTGTGGGATGCATTTGAAGGGTAGAATCAGGTTTAACACACCTATCATCTGGAGATCTCAAACAAAAACATCAGAAAATTAACTCGTTATCTCGACAAAGCCGTCAGGTGAAATTATATACATCCTCTCTTGGCTTCTATAATTTAATACTAAGAATTGTTTCATGAGCATTTTATTCATACAAACCTGAACTCCAGCATAGGCATTGTTCACCAAGATGTCCAGCCTGCCATCCTGCTCTTGTTTGATCCTTTCAAAAAGTGCCTTGATGTCTTCTGCTTTTGTGGAATCACAGATCACTGGAACACCCTTCCCACCTCTCTCAGTCACCTACATTATAATTGAGGATGCCAGAAAAATACAAGGTACTGACAAGTATTGTGCAAAAGCTTGGCTTGCAAATTAATCTGATTTCATTTAAGAAAAAGAAAGGTTTAAAGTTCACCTCAGCAGCAGTTTGTTTGAGGGTCTTCTCTTGCCGTCCTGTGATGTAAACAGTAGCTCCAGCCTCAGACAGCTGGAGCGCTATTCCCCTGCCGATGCCCCTGGAGGCACCAGTAACTACACACACCCAGCCGGAGAGGGACATCTTGGCCTGCAGGTGGTAAATTTGCAACATAAGCCAACGGTTCTCCAATCTTTTGACAAATACTACATTTGGACATTTGCCAAATGTGGTAATGCTCTAGAGTGCTTCTGGTACGGTCTATAGTTTTGTACTATAAGCTGCACCTACAATTTAAAAAACCCCCAACAACTCATGAATATGTGTGTCTGTATTCCATCTTAAGTTGGACTGCACCGATTGCAGTTTTCTGGCCGATCCCTGGTTACCAATCTTTTAAGAGCCTGACCTGCTGCTTTTGATTTTGGCTGATCTGAATTTTTTTTTTGTCTGAAATTTTGCTAAATATAGCAAGAAAGTCACTGAGTTGGCAACAGTGGGGTGAATATTATTAACTGTAAACATGCAGACGTGACCCTACTGATTGTTGGATGACATTCACGCAGATCTATAAGTTTTCCTCATGGATGCGCAAGAATTAGGACAGCGGTAACAAGTCACTTCTGTCTTAAAAATCTCTTTTTCAATAAAATTTAAGATTTTTGGGTTTCTCAAAATATGCTGCACTCCACTGATCTGTAGAGTAGTTTTTGATGAAGATGATCAATTTATTTCAGACATTTCACCAAGAGAAAACCACACATAGCAAAAAGTAGTACTTACATATCTTGTCTGTGTAAATGCCATACCCTATTGCAGACCACACAGACACCAATACATGCAAATAAACTTGTTTGCGCATGCAATTTATTCTGGCTTACAATGGCGCATTAGCTTCACATTCACCGTATAAATAGTTTATATAATTCTTCTCTCAGTTCAAGTAAATATCATATTTGTAGAACCACTGATTAAAGCTTTAAGATCATTTAGATGAGACTGATGTCTATGGGTAATAAGGTAAGAGTTGCATAAGTGCCACGCTGCTCTGTTGCTTCTTGCTGTCCAAAGTTCACTGGAAGTCAAATCGTTTTCCGTCTTACCAAACCACTTTAGATCCAGTCATCATTAGTCAGCAAACAGCCAACTTGCCTATGTTATAACACGAAATATGTACGCAATCATAAAGTTTATCTGATAAACTTTTTGGTGAGGATTTCTTATGGTTTTAATTGTTGATCAACTACGCGAACTCTATTTATGTATTTTAACTTTAGGTAACTATTTTTCCCCTTTAGTAAAAATCCATCGTCGTTCATCAGTTTTTATTATGACGCTAACTTATTTTCATCCTTATTAAGTGCTGCTGACGATAAACTGTTATTACAAGCGAGTATTATTTTCAAAAAGAACACACAACATATTAGTTATGTGACTTTGGGCAGCTCACTAAAATATAACATACACAATGGACATTTCTTTAGAGCTAAAGACGCTATATTGACAAAGTGAATACAAAAAAAATTTCAAAAATGACACCATCTTTATCAAATAAAGCAGCTCGCTAGCTGCATGAAAATAAGGCTAACCTTGTAGCAGAGCGCGGTGGATCTGGTTTGTCTGGTCCCTGTTGTCTGTTGCAGTCTTTTCCGAGGAAGAATGAGAGCAACTGGGAGTGTTGATTTTCGGTGGACTGTCGATGCTGTTTTGATGACATCACAAGTTTGTCACCACCAGTTTGTTACACCGCTATCCAAAAATAAATAAATAAATACAACGCTTCTGCAAATATCGCGAGAAAAGCGCAGTGAATGTATCGCGAGAGCATTTTAAAGAGGGCACGTTTACTTTATGTGCAGTTTTTTTTTAAATGTTTTTATCCATTTTTAACAGACAGTCAAAGTTTATTACAAATTTGTGCTTTGTGCAAATTAACTTGCAAAAAGAGTTATTTTGAATGTCAAGAGTGAATATAACTTTCGAAACAACACCATAAGATGGCGCTGTTTGTTAAACAACTTCAGAAAATCCTCGAATGCTGTAGGATTACAGAACTTGTTTTTGTTACTAATTTAGAAAAAACAATCTACTATTTTATCTTATTATTATTAGTAGTAGTAGTATTAGTATTATTATTGACTGTTTTCAGTTCTTTTTTTTGATAAGTCAAAAATGAAACAGTTAGGCTTAATAATATTACATTAGAACCACAAAATTGATCATAAAATAACTGTTTACTGCTATACAGCCGGTGATCAACTGAATCGGTGGAAAAATATGTTTTTATTTATTTTTAAAGATAGATTATAAGTGCCTTGTAAAAGTATTACTTACCCCTAGACATGGAAATAAAGTAGGAATATACTTTATTGTCCCTCTCTGGGGGAAATTCAAGTGCAAGTTAAGTTAGAAATATGTATATTTTCACAAAAGTAATATAAAAACAATAGTAAGAGATTATACAGTAAGGGCAAATTTACATGTAAGAAAAATAATATTGCACAGTTATTAAAAACGGTGTAGTCTAATGATGAGAAATGTACAGCTGTGTAGGGTTTTTTCAAATCAGGAACAAGTGTCAAGAAAATTGCAAAGCTGTTGAAAGACTGAGTTCCTTCAAATTTGTTTAGCGTTACCTTTGATTTATAATAACTGTCCACATAGCAGAAGGATCTAAGATTAAGGAAAACAAAAGTGTACTTGGATACCTCTTGTGGTAGTTCAGAAACTTGCACTCATAGGTTTAGCAATCCCAACCATGTGCAAACGCAAGAAGTAAGATTAGAATGAGATTGAGACACACCAATGACTCAAAGATGAAATAGGGATGTTGTGAAAAGTGGACTTCTTGTCCTCAGAGGGACCAAAAAGTCTTTCAGGGAGCGACTTTGCCAAACAACAAATGACAAAAACAAAATATTTAATATTTTTGTGAACTGTATGAAGTTTAGCAGAAATAAACAGTATTTCTGTTGAGGCTCCAGTTATCAAGTTCACTTCAAAACATACGAATCTGAGACAACAAAGACAAGCCTTAAGAAATGAAAGGCATAGTTACATTGCTTTGCATTACAGTATTAAAACTCTACCATATACTGCTCTATTTGTTTTGAGCTTACTTTTGCCTCAGCTAACATTCATTTCAGTCCGTAGTACATAGTTCAGTAAGGCTTGGTTTCATTCCCAGACAACTTATTACACACCAGGCTCACCAGCGGCATACAAATAAAGGCCATATTTGCTGTAGAGTTCTGGGCCATGGGAAGCTTTTATAGGAGTCATCCACTAAAAGTGTTCTTCAAAAAATGAATTAACCTAAGCCCACCTCATCAGCCCTCTATATGTTTGGTGTTCACCAAAAATTACTCAAATTAAAAAAATTGACTTGTCTTTAAGTAACAGAATAATCTTATTGAGTTAATTTTGTTTTAATCTAAGGTTGTATTTCCCTAACTATGTGGTTCAAACCATGTCTTTCACTATTTCATGAATGCCAAGGCCTTTATTTTTGCTGGTTGCCTGCATTTTGCAAGAGGTCTCACTAAGAAGGCTGCACCCCGACAACCACACCATCATGACACCAAATTTGATTTTATGGCTTGTAAGTGACTTTTGTATTGTGCAAAATTTGTTTTATGTAATCATTTTAAATATGCTGTCAGCCTTTTCACTCATGGTAAAAAACAACAACAACAAAAACAAAACAAAACACACTTCCCAGCTTATTCTGTTGAGTTTGAACATGTTTCTGCCTCTCTCCAACTTGTCCAATGCTTTCCTTTTATTTGCCTGGCACCTCTTTGTTTGTTCACCCTGTGGAAGTCACTGGGCAATTCTGGAAAGTTTTCTGGTACACACAACATTTCTAATACTTTCTTGTGTGTGGCAATATGCGCGTTGCTGATTTGTGAACAACTCCAATGGAGTGGCAATCTGTCTAGGCAATTGTTTAAGTTAAAGTTAAGTAGATTGACTTTTGACACATTGCTGGTTGTCTAGTTAACTTGTTAATCAGTTTCATTGGTCAAGTAATAATGATTTGATAAGATTTGTTCTTGTGCTTTATTTTATCCGTTCTCCTCTTTGGTTTCTTTCCATGTACACTAAAAATAAATATAAAAAATGGCTCTCGAGTATTACAGCATAAACAGAATAACGTCTTTCTGTACATCATTCCGGTGGATGTCCGATTGTTTTTCTGTTTTCTGTGTGCACCTACTTTGACCATAATGTGTGTGCCTGCAATGTTTGCTTGAGGTAAACAGTATTGACTGCAGTAATCTCAGTGATGAAACTTCATTTAATCTAAATGAACTTAGAACACGTTATTTACTACCAGTACTTTGGGCCAACATTACGGGAAAGATTTTGTGCTTAAATGTTTCTTCTTCTTTCTTAGTTTTTCTTTTGCAATAGTTATTGCCACATACCCCTCCAACCCCTTTACCACTCCCACCCTGCAGTGGGTGGGTGTGCTGGTGTTGGTTTTTTCCATTTAATTTTTTTGCTGACACTACAACTCTTTAATGGGTGTAGGCACATTTACAAATGCAACTATTGCACATACTGTACAGGTCATTTTTAAGTCATACTCCCTGAACTTTCTCTGTTTGCAAAACTATACCCAGAAATAATGTTTTTATTTTATCGTTATTATTGTCTCAGTTTATCTGCCCATAGTGGAGAGCACTTTGGATAAACACCTTGTATTTTAAATATGCTTTGTAACTAAAATGGACTGGATCAGATTGGAATAGAGTCATGAACTATCCTGCAGCATCATTCCCAAGTCACAGCAAACATGAGGAAGAAGGTGCACTGATCCGATAATTGTTTCAAACAGTAACTTCTAATTGAAGTGGACAGAAATCACATGCGGAGTACCCCAAGGCTCAGTCTTAGAACCTCTCGTATTCAAGAAAAACTATTGACTCAGTCATGCATAACTTTACGGTGAACCAGAGAGGTTAACAAAATGCAAAAGTCTCAACGCAACAACAAAAAAAAGCCAAAGCAGAAGTTGTGCTAGCAAGTTTTTATATATATATATTTTCTGTTTTAACAGAACCGTTTTGCTGATGTGTTGTGGCATTTGCACTTTGTTGACCTTTCTGGGCCACCGTATATTTTATAGATGCATGTTGAATTTTTCAGATGTATATGTATTATTTTTTAAATATTTGGAAACCACATATATCTATTATATAAGATCCTAATAAAATACATAAAAGCCTGTGCTTTTCCAAAACGTGAACAATCAAGTGGTATAAATACTTTTGCAAGGTGCCGTACAATGCCTCTAGGTTTATGAACTTGACAAAGAAATCAAAAAGTAAAAGGGAGCACTTTTCAAAGCACTGTAAATCTTTTGATTCTACTATTTTTGAAATAATCTCAACACTTCCAATTTAAAAAAAGGCATTATATATTCCTTGGTTTTCATTTCTTGTGAATTTTTACTAGAGTGTATCACTCTCCTGGGTTAGCGGAACCACAGCAACCTTTTCACTTTTAACCTTAGAATCAATTTGCTCCTCCCTTTCTGGGAAGCCTGGGCCTACTCATGGTATTGATCATCCAATGGGTTAAAAAGAGCACTGCTGCTGCTGCAAGTCATTACAGTTTAGGAGCAGAACAATGGCTGGAGGTCCTAACCTCATTTGGGTTCCCTTCCTTCTCTTCTGCATCCTCCCTGCATCTGACAACAGACATGGTAAGAAGCAATGCTTTCCCATAATGTTTCCAATAAATATAGCATTGAAACATTGATTGAAATTTGAATCCTTCATTTGTTTCAGTGCCGTACAACCTGGGTGAGTTTGTCAAGAACACTGGAAACCCACAGCTGGACGAGATCCTGTCCAGGATTCCTGTGAGTCCTCACTGATTCTGACTTTGTTCATTCACAGTGCATGTAAAGAAAGTAGAAAGCCTCAATTATGTGATGGAAAAAAAAACAAAACCATGACGATTCGTTGTAAAACTTTTTCCATTTTTAAGGTGACGTTCTTTTGAAAACAAACAAAAATGCAATTAATGGGAAAAATTTACTTTATGAGAAAGCCACAGTGACCTGGTTGCACAAGAATTCACAACCTGAAACTCATCTGATGTTGAAGTATATTTGGATTTAATTTCAGCATTAAGTTATCTTTCAATTTGACTCAAAATTAGACAACTACAAGCTGAAAAAATGTCGCAATTCAGGCTGCAGCACTCAGTCAGCAGAGTTGAGAAATCTGTGATCGACAATTCAGGGCAATGGAAATATATTCTTAACACATGTCTGCCACAGACATGAGTATTGTTTCTGAACATGTCACAATTTGTGCATAAAATTTGAACAAGGTGGCATGTTCAGTAACATCAAAATAACATATCATGTACTCCAATTTGATTGTGTGATGCTTTCAAGCCACACCCTGAGCTACGAATAGTCTGTGCTATGAATAATCACATATCCACTGAAACCTGTCATTTTACTTAGGTTTTGCACAATTTTTATATCCACTGTGTTGCTACAGTAAAGGTTGTGCGTTGTAAATAATTGCTTTTAATGTATTCATCTCAGATATCCTTGCCAAATGGAACTGATTTCGATGACGTAAATGTAACGGTATGTAATCACCTCTTTTTCATGCTAATATGAATGCTTTCTGTTATTTGGGTTCTTCTAATCTAACGCTTATCATTCTCTTTCAGTCAGTAAAAGTCAAACTTTGCACTGGTGAGCGTATTCTTTATCCATTTTCCAGTTCTAATCTGACGCATGCTTACG